CCGGTAGCTTTTTATTGATAGCCGATGCTCAGGTGAAGAACAGACCCCGTCCCGGTAACGTTTTACAGTACGCCTTGTATTTCAACCCTTCTTCGAGTTGGCATTTCTCAAAACTCGTTCTACAAAACTCTTGAGGTTTCCAGAAAAAGTTACCGAGTTGGTCAGTGACCAGAAGCAAGCGATTGTTGTCGAAATACTCAGGAAAACAGGCTACGTGTTGCGCACATGGTGCTCAACCCGGAAACAGTGCCTCAGCCGAAGGTGTAGCCCAGCTACTGCAAGTCTTGGCCCCTGGCTCACATTGTACTTTCGTAAAGTCTTGCCCAGCGTATTTCCCATCTGAGTAAGAGGTAGTTGAATCATATGCTGAAGCTAATACGTTCGGACTCCGTTTATACATGATATTGTGAGTGCTCAGTCCGGACACCGTCCTCGCTCCGCAGCGCTGTGTGCTCGCTCCCACTGTGCTTCTTCATGCCACGACCACGGGCATTAAACGAATCTGCCTAAAAAAGTGAATTTCCAAAGCCATGAAAGATTAGTTGTTTCAGATGAAAGCACGGAAACGCCTGCCCGGTAGCTTTTTATTGAATAGCCGATGCTCAGGTGAAGAACAGACCCCGTCCCGGTAACGTTTTACAGTACGCCTTGTATTTCAACCCTTCTTCGAGTTGGCATTTCTCAAAACTCGTTCTACAAAACTCTTGAGGTTTCCAGAAAAAGTTACCGAGTTGGTCAGTGACCAGAAGCAAGCGATTGTTGTCGAAATACTCAGGAAAACAGGCTACGTGTTGCGCACATGGTGCTCAACCCGGAAACAGTGCCTCAGCCGAAGGTGTAGCCCAGCTACTGCAAGTCTTGGCCCCTGGCTCACATTGTACTTTCGTAAAGTCTTGCCCAGCGTATTTCCCATCTGAGTAAGAGGTAGTTGAATCATATGCTGAAGCTAATACGTTCGGACTCCGTTTATACATGATATTGTGAGTGCTCAGTCCGGACACCGTCCTCGCTCCGCAGCGCTGTGTGCTCGCTCCCACTGTGCTTCTTCATGCCACGACCACGGGCATTAAACGAATCTGCCTAAAAAAGTGAATTTCCAAAGCCATGAAAGATTAGTTGTTTCAGATGAAAGCACGGAAACGCCTGCCCGGTAGCTTTTTATTGAATAGCCGATGCTCAGGTGAAGAACAGACCCCGTCCCGGTAACGTTTTACAGTACGCCTTGTATTTCAACCCTTCTTCGAGTTGGCATTTCTCAAAACTCGTTCTACAAAACTCTTGAGGTTTCCAGAAAAAGTTACCGAGTTGGTCAGTGACCAGAAGCAAGCGATTGTTGTCGAAATACTCAGGAAAACAGGCTACGTGTTGCGCACATGGTGCTCAACCCGGAAACAGTGCCTCAGCCGAAGGTGTAGCCCAGCTACTGCAAGTCTTGGCCCCTGGCTCACATTGTACTTTCGTAAAGTCTTGCCCAGCGTATTTCCCATCTGAGTAAGAGGTAGTTGAATCATATGCTGAAGCTAATACGTTCGGACTCCGTTTATACATGATATTGTGAGTGCTCAGTCCGGACACCGTCCTCGCTCCGCAGCGCTGTGTGCTCGCTCCCACTGTGCTTCTTCATGCCACGACCACGGGCATTAAACGAATCTGCCTAAAAAAGTGAATTTCCAAAGCCATGAAAGATTAGTTGTTTCAGATGAAAGCACGGAAACGCCTGCCCGGTAGCTTTTTATTGAATAGCCGATGCTCAGGTGAAGAACAGACCCCGTCCCGGTAACGTTTTACAGTACGCCTTGTATTTCAACCCTTCTTCGAGTTGGCATTTCTCAAAACTCGTTCTACAAAACTCTTGAGGTTTCCAGAAAAAGTTACCGAGTTGGTCAGTGACCAGAAGCAAGCGATTGTTGTCGAAATACTCAGGAAAACAGGCTACGTGTTGCGCACATGGTGCTCAACCCGGAAACAGTGCCTCAGCCGAAGGTGTAGCCCAGCTACTGCAAGTCTTGGCCCCTGGCTCACATTGTACTTTCGTAAAGTCTTGCCCAGCGTATTTCCCATCTGAGTAAGAGGTAGTTGAATCATATGCTGAAGCTAATACGTTCGGACTCCGTTTATACATGATATTGTGAGTGCTCAGTCCGGACACCGTCCTCGCTCCGCAGCGCTGTGTGCTCGCTCCCACTGTATCAATACTACAGGACTTGGGTTGTATGGAAATATTTGTACCAGAATGGTGTTTAAGTACTAATCTGTGAGGCCAGAACGAAAACACAGAAGAACATCATAACCTGCTAACGATGGATATTGTGATAACATTGATTTCACAACTTACCATTAATTTGATGATAATTGGTTTTCTAGATAGCCCTAACTATAGATGGACTTGCCCTAACTCAAGGCTCATATTTGTCGTCTGACCCTGAATAGGAATAACTGAGAAACGCAGTTGTAAGATGACTCCATCATACTCGACCTGCCTCCCACCTGATGTATCGATCAATATAGTTGGAAAAATTAATCACAGAGCTTTACAGAATTATGAGAGAAGAGGAAATCAACACCGATAACAAAAAATTGATATGGAGTAATTGTTCCCATAGTTACATCAAATCCTCATCACCACCATCCAAACGAAAGTTGGTACCACATCGTCTGAGATACAACTCCTATGTGAAATCTATGTCCCAAATATGAGGTGAATAACGTTGCTTAGTAAGCCAAACCTAATCGGGCAATCGATGACCTCGATTTGATGCGTATCGTAATTTCCGATTTCGTAATTTCCAGTGCAACGTAGAACGCTTGTTGTGGTGAATCCGTCACACCGCCATATTCATACAGCTTTGAAATTTTCACACGCACTCGAATCCTCTGTAATATAAATCAGAAAATGAACTTAGTACAACTGATTTCAGAAGAAATCAACACCGGTAACAAGAAATCAATAACGAGTTATTATTTTGTCCAAGTCTTTACATAATTCCCAATCTCAGTTTCCGGTGATCTCAAGTCCCTGATATTATAATAATGATATTTACGTACTACAGATAGTGTCTGGACTCCAGACTTTATGGGCTCTCACATACCTCTAATCAACTGGGAACGAACATAAACTCTAACGCAACGCGATGAATCAAAATTATGTTAAGGGTGGTTCGAGAATTTTTGTGGGCGCGTTAAGAAATTCCTAGGGCGTCAAAAGAAATTTTCCAGGGCGCGCCGCGAAACAGCCCCAAGGTAGAGCTCCACATTTCGTCACACTCACTCGCAAGAATCTTAGGTTCTACGTAGTAAGATTCAAAGTAGGTCCACTGAGGGGACACTTTTACCAAATCGATCAACAGTTGTTATCTGTTCTTTATATCCTCATGTCCAATTCATACAACTTCTTCTACTCAGCCCCCAAGGTAGAGCTCCACATCCACTTCGATGGTGCCTTCGACATGGACTTCCTCTACCAAATCGCCAAGCGTGACCTCGACCAGCTGCCCGAGACCGTCCCCGCTCCCTGGAACGGTCCTGATGCTACCGTTACCGTCCGGTCTGCTATAGCGGCTTGCAAGTGCAAGGAGGACTTCGAGAAGATTACCTGCCTTAGTCCCGAGGCTGTTGTTGCTAAGCGACTTCAGAACGGCGGCCAGAAGGGTGCCGGGCTGGCTTGTATGCTCGACTGCTTCGCCGTCTTCACTCCTGTCGTACAAGGCAAAAGGGACGTTATCGAGGAGATGGCTTTTAAGGTCTGCGAACGTCAGTACCGTGAGAACGTCGTCTATACTGAACTCCGTTACAACCCGCATGTCCTCACTAAGGAGGGTTCCTCTCTATCCGACGCCCGAAGTGTCGTTGAGGCTGTTACTGCTGGTATCGAGCACGGCAAGGAGGTCTTTGGTATCGACATGAATCAGATCCTCTGTTGTATGAATCTGATGCCCGAGGTCAGTGATGAGGTCGCCGATCTCGCTATTGAGTTTAAGTCCAAGGGTGTTGTCGCTATTGACGTCGCTGCTGGTGAGACGCACTTTGAGAATGAGGACCTCAAGAAAGCTCACGTAGCCGCCTGCTTGAAAGCTGAGGAGGCCGGTCTTCGTGTCACCGTCCACGGCGCTGAGGACGGCTCGTCGACGAACTTCTGTTGTGCTGTTCGAGAGTACCATGCAGAACGCGTGGGTCACGCCTACAAGATCGCTGCCGACTCTGCGATGTATAAGATGGCTGAGGACACCCACACGCACATTGAGGCCTGTCCTACTTCTAGTATCTGCACGGAGGCTGTCTGTCTACCCCAAGTGCATCCAGAGAAGCCAATTCTGGACAGTTTAGACTGGAACAAGCATCCCATCAAGAAGTTCATCGAGGATGGTCTTAGTGTCAGCATCAGCACTGACGACCCGACGGTGTTTTTGACTCACATCACTGACGAGTTGACTATTCTCGCTGATCGGTTTGGTCTTGATGCCCATAAGGTTGGTTTGGCGGTTACTATGAATGCTATAGAGCGCTGTTGGGCTTCGGTGAAAGAGAAATCTCATTATCGCGAGGTGACTTTGAAGTATTACGAAGGAGAGGCGTCCACGGTTGAGGAGAATAGCGATTGAGTTTATTACATATTCCTACTTGGAGGGAATTTCTGTTCATACTGTATACGAGCTGCTGAGTTTATCGACGATCGTATATGTTTTCGTGTTAGTCTAGGTCAATGCTTTTAGAGGGAACAGTAGTGGTGTTATTCGTAGAGTAAATTGAATTCGCCGAATGTGAATCGTCTAGTTGTGCCTCTTGGGTGGTTTTAGGGTATATGGCTACTCGAGCTCCACAGCATCCTTTTGAGGGTCTCCATAACTGGATTTCTTCTTCGTTTCATTGAGAATCGTCGTGAATAACACGGCAACAGTAGAGCATGATTGGATCACTGATCTACTTTTACGCGAGGGGTACTATAAAGTCTACAGCGAAAATGTCCACTTCAGAATGTTACTATACGACTGATGTCGTCGTCGTCGTTCCTGTGGAAGTTCATAAGAGGTAGCGGCATCAGTATTTGTGGCCTTGCTTAGCTCATTGGAGTTTATTCGAAGACTCAGGTGAGATAACTCGTTGGTAGAAGTATGGCGACGTGTGAAGAATCGGCTCGATGGAAATCCACAGAGGTATTGACAGATGTTTCTTCAGCTGAACTCGTACTTTCACACATTGTCAGAACTCTTCGAGATTATCTGTGAAAGTCCTACACCCAGCAGTAATCGGCTTGTGACGTGTATGCTTTCTAGTTCTGCACATTGCTGATCATTCCGACTGTAGTTCAACAACTCGTACGATACTATCACAGTTACCGATTAGGTAGGTGCATAGAGGCTCTTGTCTTCGTAATGAACGTTGCTTGTTTCACAGATTCTGAGTATCAATCGAATGTCCATATACGAATGACTTGAATTCAACCACATTGTCCCACAATCTCCTTCTACTTACGTTATTGTGAATCAATTTTCCTTCTCATCGTATTTCTGTGTTCCGCGTTATGGGTAGATATTGCTAAAATGCAGTTATTTCGATTCAGTTCATGCTCCCTAGCGGATCGGCAAAAACGAACACCGAAAGGCTCCGATTTCGCGCGATAGATCATGTAGGTTGCCGTTGGGAGCACTTCCCCACGATTTCTCTAAGGCTCGAACGAAACCCAAGAAGATGAGGGATCTATGCTTCGAACATCTGGCCAAGAACTACCTCGATCTGACAAAGGGAAGTGGTAGTTGAACAAACATGCACATGTTGAAAGTTTTTGGAAATTCTCGTTGGGGCTTCTACATTTCTAATTGCACTCTGCGGAAGGAAGCGAACATATACGTTTTTCACAGTAGCAACGATTACATTGTATGTGCGAAGTATCAGAGCGATTATCATTAATTTCAAGAAAAAAAACGCATTTATCGCGTCTGCATGTCGAATTGGCACGCACTGTATTCCTACTCCAACACCGCCTCGGACGATCCCGAAGTTGATCGTTCATAGATAATGGAGGTCCTTGGGAGCAGCTCTCGTCTGCAGAGATGGATGAGGTCAGCGTTGCAGTAGATCCTATCAGGAGGATTTTCCTCAGGTCTATGCGCGTCTGAGTTTGGATATTCCTATTCTTGATGCAATTCGGTATATACATGACGAAAGCTACTGGTATCGCCGACTTCAAGTAAGGCTCCACTCAGTGTAGGGTGTAGTAACGTCTTCAGGAGCAGCTGTCGAAGCCGCCGTCTATCGGTAGTAATGTATGTTCACGGTTGCCTCGAATAGTATTGGAGTAGGGATATACGTCTGCTTTCCTTAGCTGAGCTCAGGAATCAGTATACAGAAACCAATGAGAATTTACGTGAAGTTGACCATGTGCATTCTGAGCTCAAGATTCCTCGTCAAGTCACGTGCTTGGCACAGCAGTAGTATCATATTTGAAAGCTCTGGGGCCCACCACGGGCATTGACATCGACGAAGACGCAGTAGGGTCTGTGGTGGGCCAGAAAGTGGCTGTTGGTGTTAACCTACTTGACCATGGTGGCAGTTGGAAGCAAGCGTAAACTTCTATCGGATGGCAAACCTGATCACTTCCCGAAGGTTCATCGAGATTTGGGTTGCTCGGGAAATATCCAAACTGCCATCAGAGACAACAACAGAACAACTGGAGGCGCTTATACTCGTAAAAACGCAGTTGCGTGGGTTCGAACTCACGCCCTTTAGGTGCTCAAGTCGACTTCCGACTTCATATTCCGTCTTGACCTCGAGGAACTTCCCTCCTCTCTAGACATGGCATTGCTAGTGGCCAGGCTTCCTTGTCTGTGCTCTCTCCGAGTCACTTACGGTCGCCGTAGGAAAATGGGTAGAAAGTTCGCTCCTCACGATGGCACCAAGTGGCCTATAGGGATGATCTACGACCGAGCCCAGTTCGGCATGAAGATGGTTGATGTCTCTAACGTGGCTAGAGCCATGAGGTCATCAGAATTTCATCGTTTCTAAGACCGGTGTGTGTTTTGGCAGATTCTCACAGACCTTGCACAGTCTCGCATTACCGCATAACCTCATTGACGATCAGCTCGCAAAGGTAGTCCCTTTTTTGAAAGAAAATAGATTTTTTTGAAGGTCCTTGCTATGGGCCTGCGATCTTGTCATGTTCTCACTGATTTGGATCTATCTCATAATAAGATCAGCGATAAAGTAACACTAGGGGTCTGTAGGGTGACGGAGTTGTCACGTTAGGGCGCGCGGAAAATAGCTACATTATTGTCGCCTGCAGAAGAGATTAGATTGAGTAAACTCTCTCTTGAGGATAATGATATTCATGCGAATGGTGTGATGCACATCGGCCGTCACTTGGCTGAGAACGACAGTCTACAGGTGAGATCTCATTGTGTAACTTCGATCATCAACTGCTTTGTATAGTTGTCCTCTTGATATACATATAATCTCCGCTTGCTGATAGTGAATCACGAGAATGAACTCGCTTCTTGAGTAGCATACTACTGTTCAGAAGCTCTCACTAAGACTTAACCGCAGCGAAGACAACGGTGCTTCACATTTGCTACATAGTTTGGTAGCCAACTCCACCCTACTCGAACTGGACCTATCCAGCAACGACATCACGAGTCGCACCATACCGTACGCTCCTCTACCCTCATATCTGTCGTTCACTCTGGGGACAGTTACCTCACCTCTTGCCTCGCCGAGAATAATACTTTGGCAGTGATCGATCTCTCGGGCAACCCGTTGTACACGGACCCTGAGGAACCGACGATGGCAAAATCGGGTGAAATTGGGATGAAGGCTATCGGTGAACCAACTCCAATCCGAATAAATCAACACTTCTTTGTAGTGTCCGACTGTAAAGCTCGACTGCACGGCAGTCTGGGGGCAATATATGCATATGGTCAACCACATGTGTTGTTGACAACATGAAAATTCTGAGGAAGTTCTCACTGGTTTATCTACACTCCCATTCGAAACTTCTGAGCTCAGCTGAGGAAAGCCAACATATATTCCTCCAACACTGGTTATGATATTAATAAGTTGAAAAGCGAGCTTCGTATTATTCACTCGAGGCGCCTTTTTCAGACGCGTTCCTGCGGA